TCACTGGTTAAAAATTTAAATCGTTGATTAAGGAAAGTTCACTGTTTAAAAAGGACACTATTTTTAAAGTTATCGTCTCCTGGCACCTGCTCTGGAACGACTCCCCCGAGAAGGGGAAGGAAAGGGATTTTATCAGATCGGCGTGGGAGAATGGTCACGTGATTGATTGTTGTGAGGTAAAAGGTACGCAGATGGGTCAGAGTTGTTCCCGGGACTATGCTAACTATCAACTTAACAGTTGGAATGTGGGATTAGTTTCGAAATGAACGGATGTTTATGTCGAACATAAAGGAAAAATTTTTTTCCCGTTAGGTTTCACTTTAAGTTAAAGGAAAATTTAATTACGTTTTAAGGCAAATACGGGACAATTAGTCGGCAAAATAATCAGTAAAAATTCCGAATCTCACAAATGTAATATAGTGGAATACAGAAAAACTGAACCAGTATAANAAAAAAAAAAAAAACAATAAAGTTCCACTCAAACTGCCTGATGAAAACTAAAAAGAATGTGTCTATTATGGATTTAAGAAACATTTTTAATAGAACTACACATGAACAAGATATAAACAAACACTATGATACCATCACAAAGAACAGATGGGTTGCATAATAGATAAAAACCAGATTAAAATTTTATACCATGAAAATGATATATACAAAAAGGAAATTTAAATAACACATAGCACGTATGTAAAATAAATCTGTTAAACACATGTGGAGGAATACAAATCACCAAGAGGTGGTATGACCTCATATCTTGATTGTGGGTTGGTCAGAAAACAGTAAATTTGTTGGCCACAAGATGGTTACACTTGAACACAACATGAAGTTTACTTTTAAGACTAATGGCCTATTACAATAGCATAAAACATCTATGATCTAATGTATCAGTCCTTATCATTTGCTTAATGTATCAGTGTGAAATATATTCCATGTTATGTTCATGTACTTTCATATTTAAGGAGATAGTTGATTCAATACAAAGTAAGATATTACTATTATGTTCAGTTTTATTATTATTTTATGTTAAATTAATTTTGTATATTTTTGAATTGTATATTATATTTCAAACCTAGCTCTTAATAATTTTAGTTACTGATGAGGGACTGTAAAATGTAAGTCGGCCTGACATACATCTATTTACGTAACCAAAATAAACGTAATTAAACCATAAGTTTTACATCATTGAATTACCTGTAGCATTCCTATAAACCTGCAGATACAAGATTATGGAATTCTCAAGAAATTTCTAATTGGAATATAGTTGGTGATCCCAACAAGAAAGGAAATAAAAACTTTTAAAATTTTGTGAATATTAATATGCTGACAGGCCCAACTCATCATTATCATGTGTTAAGAAAGATTGATTTATATCATTTATTTAAATATTTTGTTAAAAAAATTGTGTATGTGTGTATTTTAGAAAATGCTGCAGTGCTACATTTACAATTCTAATTATTAAACATTTCTAACATTGTGAATGTTATTTGATGCAAGTATTATATAATTTTCAGTTGTTGTTATATTTAATCTCAATCAAATANACTTTGCCTATGCTTTTAAATGCATTTTAGGCAATTAATGTTTAAAACTGTACAATATAAATAAGGTGTGTCAAACTCATTTAAACAACAAGCCATTAATGCGACTGGTAAAATTCCCACGGGCCACATTACATTTACAAATCTTCTTAAGATTATAATTTGAAGTGAGAATGCAGGAATATAGATAGGGCAATTAAAACACATTATGTAGTTCAGTGAATGCAACTCAACAATATATATATATAGTATTACTTTTATTTAAACATTTATTTTATTTAATGTTCGTATTTATAAATCTAAAATAAATTGTTTACACCGGAAACAGACAGATCTAGGTTTTTCAGGGCCTAAGGTTTATTGAAGTCCAATGGGACCCCATTTTTGCCAAACCTAACCTAACCTATTAACTATTTTTACTATATGATAAGTGCTCATCGTTAATGAAAATGTATTAAAAATTTATGATGATAATTTAATTTAATTTTTGTGGACCCTCAAGTGTCAAGGGTCCACAAATATTAAATTATCATCATAAATTTTTAATACTTTTTTATTAACAATGAGCTACATAGGGCTAATAGGGCTTAAGCCCTACTAGTCCCTATGTAGATCTGCCCGACTGGAAACTTGCCAGTGTTAACTTCCTCTTCCTAGTTTTCCGATATATGGATTCAAAGACTGAGAACAAACAATCTTCATTATGGCAGATAGATGTTTATGTTAGTCTTGATCTGTAAGCTGTTTTATTTAATTTCAGAGTATCGTGGCCATGGGCCACAAAAAAATTACATCGGGACTGCCAGTTTGACACCCGATATAAATTAACATTTCTGTGTTATGATTAAAAGAATACTTTCATTATTAAAATAGAGCAATTAAAAATCTCTTCAATAATACACTGTTTTAATAATATGATACAAAATTTTACAAAAAATTATTAACTTTATAGAGTATAATAAACTATTTAAATGAATTTGTGTACTCAAATTTATATAGCTTAAATTTAATACATACTATTATAAACACTATACATGCATTACTTACAAATAAGTATCACCACTAAACCTTTGGGTTTCCGGTTTAGTGGTGATACTCATTAGTACTAGTACTGGTAATTTCTCTAGAAAATTACTTACAAAAATATTAAAATGGAATAATCAATCATAATAATTTGAAAAGTTTATTTTATGTTGTATAATTTGTTATTCAGTATTTTTTGTCATTGTCAATTACAGTGGGCGATTGGTTAACAAACAAATTGGATAACAAACACTTTTGTGAAAGATTTTTATGTTCAGACAACGAACACATGTTCGGATAACAAACACCTCAAAGAACAAACAGGAGAGGAAGCAATGTAAAATAATGAATACCGATTGGTCTTCCCTTGTCTTCAGGCAACAATGTGAAACTTTTCGGAGTGTGGGAGACATCAACATCGACTCTGAACCCAGTTTAAATTGATCAAATAGTATTCCTCCAAACTTTGAAACTCTCTCTCTTGTATTCCAGTCTTTTATTTTTCTGACAGAAACAATTCTTTTATAGTATTTGTGAGACTGTCGGGTGGACACTCATTTAAGTTTTTGTGTCAGTTTTTATTTTTGAAAGGTGAGAGTATAATAGTGTGAGCTGCCGGGGGTTGGGAATTCCTCTCCTTTCCGACAGTTGGTCAGTGATCTACTTTCTTGTCAAGGATGGTATTTATGTTCAGTTACGCGTTACATGAGTGGAGGAGAGTCAGAGGGGTCGACGATAAGATGTTGGCTAAGTCGAGTAAAGACACTATTTAAAAACAAAACAAGAGTTTATTACAATCATCTACGAAAAAATTACAAACCTAATTACTCTAAGTTCTGTTATAACAACCTATCCTGCTACTGCGCGGATGGCAGAGAGAGAGTTTACAAATATGCGTTCATACCTCTTTGCATATATCAGTGGGATATTCTTCCGTAATATCGTCCAAATGGATTCGGGGTGTGGCACAAGGTTCTATGGTGGGGTAGGCCTGCGATGGGGAAGACGATGTCCAATTTCGACGTTTCGACTCACGATCAGTGATTCCCGAGAGGGGAAGGAGGAGGGCTTTTATATCTTTTGTGGTGGGAAAATTAGTCAGGTGATCAATGGTTTTAGCAGGTGTGAGGTTAAAGGTGGTGTTAGAATGACAACAATATGATGAATTTTGCATGTAAGTGTAAACTATGCACGGATTCCTCGTGAGAATGTTTATATTAAGACATAAAATTCCCACGGCCTCTATATTTCAATTTTGTAGGTAAGGAATAAATTTATTTTATAAAATTAACTAAATTTTGACTCTCACAATAGCAAAGGTAGAGAGTAGGAAGAAGATTCCCGATGTCACTAAGCAGTATGGCTTGAACAGATGTATAGTAGGCCACAGTTCAATCTTATCAAAGAAAGATACTGTATAATCAAGAAGACTCAAGCAGCTTAAGGAGTAACAAAAATCACATCTGAGAAATAAAGAACATTGAAGAGCTCATAATGGAACCTAAAACTGATCTGACAATAGAAGAATGCCAAGAACTCTTGAATGAAGAACATCAAGAAAGTCGGCGAGATATGTTTTCTTATGAAAAAGAGGATTAATGCTGATATCTGCTATTAAAGATCTTTTGAAGAAGTAGGAGGATATCAGAACAATGGTCTTAGAATGGCATTCAAACCAGGTTGAGGTTAATAGGCTTAGGGATCTCTATAATTACAATGCTATTAATTACGTCTAAAAAATTCTGAAGGAGAGAGAAAAGCGATCGACATTAGACGGATTCTTTAACCCCCACAAACGGAAAAAAACATGACTAATAAAAATGCAAGACTGTGTATATATGTGTATAAGACTGTGTATTATATATAAATAAATGTAGTAAGAAAGTATATATTTTTTTATTTTTGATGGTCTCCAGAACAAATTAATCAAATTCCCATAAAAACCTATGGTAAATTGATAATCGGTTAATAAATAATTCGGATAGTAAACAAAGTCTTGGAACAGATTATGTTCGTTAAACAATCACCCACTGTATTATATTTTTATACAGTAAAGTCTTTTAAGTCATTCAGTTGTATTTTTTAATTTGATATACAATACAGCTTGAACCTCACACCAAATATCATATAAAAAGAAGTTTAAGCACACTGAGTGCAGCATTAATACTGCTTACAATGAATTTATGTTCATCATCCTCAGACAACCAAAAATTTAAAAATATAATACAATGTTCTAATGTAAATGGTTAATTTTCATTTGTTTTGTATTATTTTAAAAATAATTTATTCTCATATTGATCTATTTTAATAGGAAAAATAAATAAATAAAATAAAAATTAATTAATTAATTTTCAAAACAGTTTTTAATTTTGTGAATATTCAAATTAAAATTCAAATAATTCATTGGATAAATAAAAATCATTTCTACAATTAAAATCATATATTGCTTACTGAATATGGATGATGAGATTGTATATTGGAACAGCCTTTAGCTTTATTTTCCTCATTATCGATGTTAATAACACGAAAAACTCTACAAAATACATTAAAAATAATTATATTGAAAATTTTATACATATATATCAAAATAAATGATAAAATTTTTTAAAATGAACAATAACTTCAAATTGTCAAAGAGAAAAGAAAAATGCTTTTTTAATTAGCACTATTTTTGTTCTTATTGTTTTTTATGTTTTGATAAAAGCATTTTTCTCTAAGAAATTTTTAAATGCACAATTTCCAATTTCTTTGGCACAATATAATTTTTCTTTTGAATTCAGCATCATATGTAAACTGTTTTTCCATTATTAATGAATATGAATAATAAAAAATTTAAAATTCAATTCTAAACAGCTGCTATCAAATAGTGGTTTTTTTTCAGTGGTATTGCTATCAGCAATCATAATACTATTCGCATGCGTAGAACATAAAGCAAAGACCCAATAGTTGGAAGGGGGAAATTGACAGAAATAAGAAGTTAAAATATTTGCTTTGAATTTAAGCTGCACCCTGATTTTATGCCTTAAAAACTGGAATAAAAAATGCAGCTTAAATGTGAAGTAATAAGGTAAATTTAAAATGTAAACAATTAGTAGAAATTATTGTAACTGCCTTGTGTGTTTAACATCTTTAAAAATGCAATAACATGAACTAATTTGTTTGATAGCTTTTGGAATATTCACACACATTATTTCAGGAGAACAGGATAAACTATTATAATTTGAATAACCCCCTTTTTTTATGCAACAGAACTAAGATAATATTTTTATTGTAATCTACACAATGAATATATGAAAAATTAAAAAAAAATAAAAAGAATAATAATATCATAACTGAGGTGAGCAAAAATGAAAAGGTTCCACCCAATTTCAGATTTCTATTCAGTTATATTACTTCCGAGTGTCCACAACACCTCCAGAGATGGTGTGACCCTATTATAAATGGAAAAGCCATAAATGCAAATATAGGATTTGCACCTCAGTTGTGTTAAAATCACTGCAACTCTCCAAAAGTCCTATTTATGGCATACACTTGAGACTTTTTGAAGTTCATATTCAGCTCTTTATGGTAATAAGAAAGTCAACTGGCCTTTTTTTACAATCCTACAATATAATTGGTTTCAAAACTTGACAATTTCATTATCCAGTAAAACCATTCAACATGGAAAACCTTTTTGTCACCTGTCTATATCACCAAATCATCTTAAGTCACAATAGCAGTGCAACTTTCAGGATTCCAAGTGCCACCTATAAGAAATATATTGAGTACTTGGGACCTTTTGTGCAATGCTGACTTTCTGATGCCTATATCTAAAAACCCTTCATTCTGTTATCAACTTAACTGCCATGGATCAATCTGGCTTAATGTAATGCCTTACAGTCACAAATTGTCACAGCTGTAACATGTAAAAGCTGAGACTTGTTTTTTGTGTGTCCTGTAAATCCAGCTCTTGGTGTTTAGGACTTTTGGCTTGTTGTACACCCCAAATATAACAAAAATATGTAACTCAAATAATTTAAAACTAAAAATAAGATAAAAATAAAAATAAATTTGCAGATAAAGTCTGTTTAATCAGGAACCACTGTTTATTTACTTTTAGTGTTCTGTAATATAAATTTTAATTTTGATGATTAAGTAGTCTACAAAGAAAAGTCGGTCGTCAAAAGTTTGTATTCTGGAACACTAAACATGAATAAATGGTGGTTCATTTTTTAACAGACTTTATCTTCAAATTTATTTTTAAACGTAATTGCCATCTGACAGAATTCTACAATAAAAACAAGATATTTATACAAATTTGTAATAATATATAAATAAAACTATTAAAAGTATATTGCAATTTATTATTAAAATTTGTGTAAAATTCTTTGAAGTAGATCACAATGTCAAAATAAATTACATTTATAATTGTAATTAAGATCAGACTAAGATCAGAGAGCTTCTATAACCAATCTCAATGATTTTCAATATTGAAATTACTTACAATTTAAACATAAGACTAATAATTCAATTCAGCTCAATAAAATCCTCTTGTGATACATATCTATTTAGTTCTGTATCAGATTTATGCCTGTTTATAGGTTGAATATTTTATTTTAGTTGATTTTCTAATTATGATTTCTATATACAATAAATACTTCAGAAAGTAAATAAGAATATAAAAGAAAAATAAACTTACAAACGAAAGACAGTTGCATTTGAACAAAATGTGAAAATTTAAAACATTCCATAATATATAATTTAAATGCTTATACTAACTTATACAATAATTTGTTTGTAAGTTTATCCTGAAAAAGTTTGGTTAAATACAGCTGAAATGTTAAAGATTAAAGTAATTAATGCAATTTTTAAGATATTTTTGGAGTGCTTTATTACCACTGATTATTTGGAAATTTTGCTCTAATTATTTTATTACTGTTGTTGTGGTTTCCTTTTAGATTTAAAGTTGAAGGATTCTAAATAAGTTGTACAGGCATACCTTCCTTTAAACAGTTAGCTGAGAGAAATTGTGCTAATACAATACTTTTCAATAATCTTCATGTTTATAATTCTCAGATCTTAAGGATATTTTAAGGTTGCAATGCAATAATGCAGCATTTTTTAAAATTTATTTTTACTTTTGCACTTTTCTTGAGACCTTGCACCACTATTGTGCACCTAAAAATAATAGTGTAAATATGTTTCTGGCCATAATTAATCATCCTATTTTATACTACAATTAATAATTTTCTAATTATTACTTGTAGCATAAAACAGCATGCTTAATTCCAGGAATCGTTTGGTTTAGTATTAATGCATCAGTCTTTGTGATGTTTTTATATATATATATATATGTTTTTCAGTTCTTTTTATATGCTGATAAGTGAAAAAAAAATTGTGATTCATTTTATTTTATGACAATCATCTAGAACCTAACCTTTTAAACTATGCTGTGCTCTAGATTCTCATTTCTTACTAGAAACTATTTATAATATGTAATGTGTATAAATAACAAAGTATCATTTTTAACTTTTTTTTATTAATTTTGAATTGGTATATTAAATATCTTAATACCAATTTTCCTGAGATAAATACAAGATTTTATAGCAGATATGATCCATGTGTATCCATATCTATTTGTAAGCGATGATAGCTAAAGGATGACTGAGAATAAAATCAGAATCATGTGAAGTTGTCTAAACATGCAAGAATCAAAACTTCAAATCAGCACAACAAATTGCAACTTGCAAAAGTTTAGTAATGACATTATTTAATTCATCACTTTCAAAACACATTTTATCTTAAATAAAAGCTGTAATTTTTATTTAAAGTGCTATTGTCTGATTATACACTTGAAAAGTATTGTATTTGACAATTAAAGAAGCTTGTTTACATGAGTCACTGTGATGTTTGGTTGCCAAACATCACAGTGATTGATTCGACTAAAAACAATTTATTAAATCAGATCTATAATAGTTATGCAATGGTGCCTCATACTTTGAATTTAACACATTCTATAAGGTTGTTCAAACTCCAAATTGTTTAAAGTCTGAATCAATTTTTCCCATTAGAAATGATGGAAAGTGAATTAATCCATTACCAGACCCCAAACAGTACCAATTTTGAGAAACTTAAAACAGCAAATACACATAATTTAAGGTAAAAATAATACAATTAAATTATCGAATAATGATTTTGAACTACTCTAACGGCAAACAGCTTTGGAATATAACCAAAAAATGGAACTAAATACAGAGAATTCTATTCTATTTGTTTATTCTACCCCTTTGGAATGTACAACATCTGGTACTCATACCTAGTATGTCAGAGCGACATCCAGAATGTTGTCTTGCAGTATTTCTGAACACCAGCAATCTATCAGGGCAGGCAAGTGCGACACCGAGCTAGCAAGAATGATGTTGCAACACCAATACACCCCTTTGTGGGACCTGTGTGCTCAAACAGTGTGGTAACAAAAGCCTCGTGTATTTATGGGAGATGCTCCTTACCGACGTGCTAAATCCATGCAACACCCCACGCTGGATGTGCCTTCTTTGTGGGTCAACTTATATAATAGATTGACATATCATCACTAGCTCCACATTCTTGTAAAAAAATTTTGCACATGCACATTGCCACTGCGTGTGTATTATTCAAGTTCTGTGTATTTAGTTCCATTTTTTGGTTATATTCCAAAGCTGTTTGCTGTTAGAGTAGTACAATTAAATTCCCTAATAATAAATTAAAACACAAAAACCATAAATATTGTATAATAAAATGAAAATTGCATTTACTGCTGGTACACTGTCAACTTTAACATCTTAACATAGATGTGTGATTTAATTATAACAGTTGTGAAATTTAACATATAGATAATGTGAGATTATATTCTTTGTTTAGAATCTTACTTTAGACTTTTTACCTCACATTTTGTTTGAATAAAATCAAGTAATGTCTTGATGGATAAAAAGCATATTGAGCATATTATGCATTATAAGTTTTGGAAAAGATATAATACCATACAAACAATAAAAAAGAATTGTAATGTGTATAGGAAAAATGGTCCTAAACTTCAAATGTGTCAAATGTAATTTGAAAAGTTCCATTTGGGAAATTTTCAACTGAAGAATACAAAACATATGAGACATCCAAAAGTTGTCAATGAGAAAAATTGCAGGAAGAAATTGTTAAAAATCATTAAACATCACACAATACAGTATATATAACCAAACACACCAAAAATAAAATGAAAAAAGCACTGAAAACATACAAGCGTACACAAGAGTGAGAGCGAGAGATAACTCGGACATACAATAGATTGTGTTTATGATTCAAGTGCATTTTATCACTGTGTGTGCAGTTCAAACTTCAAAACATTGTTCAAACTCTGAAGAGAATTTTTTATCAAATTTTGCATTTGAAGTTAGATTTGTTCAAAGTACAAGATATAATATATTAAACAATTTTTATTACAAAAAGTTACCTTTCTTGATTTCCTGGAGAATTAAGACTTAGTGGAGAATTATTACCTATTAATAAACAAACAACAAAATCTTTTAAATTACAATTAATTATTTATTGTTACTCATTTTAGTTAATTCTTTGATATATAATAAATAGAAGTGAGGCCTTTACCATACCTTCAAAAAAATTAGCTTATTTTAAAATCAATAACAAAAATTCATTAATAAAATTTTTATTCATAGAAAGAGTTTTAGGTAGTAAAATAATATGAATATTTCACCTAAATTTTTATATCTGTTTTAATTTTTACTAAATACATTAACAAAATTTTTTTTATGCATTATACCAAATGTATGTTTAATGTCATATCTCAAGAGAAAATTTATTTTAATATTTTACTTATCAAGTTTTTTTCTTGATAAAAACTTTCCTGTTTACTATTTTTACAAATATTTATTTGTTTATTATACATTGATGTGACGGTCCAAAACCCTTTTGTTTTGGAGTAGTCTAATAAACTTTGTGATTAGGTAAAAAGGGAAAAAGAGGGACTTCTGCGGTCAATGACCGAGATGATCTCCTCGAAAAAAATCGTTAGTATATCAATAAACGAAATCTCCTCCATTTGTTTAAAGGTAATTCTATAGACGTTAATATCAACAAGACGGGAATAAGAGATGTTTTTACCCCCTCTTTGGTTGCACGTGACACGTGGTTACGGCAATAAATCGCCTCCTTCGTAGTCAAACGCGACGTTTGATATAAACAATATCTAGATAGTTGACCAGGTTAAAGAAATTATTGTCAGATGAATGTTAATTTATGGATGAGAGCCGTCAAACCTATAGAAATTTATATTATAAAATCATATCTTCTAGACACTGATAGCAATAAATTAAACAAACTTCTCTGTGTCAATTGTCAGTACAAGCTAGGTCTAGACATCAACACACGAACAGGTGTGCGTATAAATCATGAATGATGTCATAGTTCTCACCCCCTCAAAAATAGTATAAAGAGGGTTTGGACGCAGTCCACAGGCGGCCATCCCCAAAAGGCGGACATTCACAAGGCGGACATCGACTGCCACATCTACTGACCAATACCGCCATACTGCCGTGACGATCCAGGAACGTTTTTACCAACGACCCATATTATGGATCGGAAACTTAGAGGTATTTGTTTTTGGATATCTATTTGTATACTCTCTCTCTGTGAAATCTCTCTCTGCGAAATCACTCTCTCGTCTCATAACTTAGAGACTAGAGATTAGATGTTTCATAAGAAAGACGAATCATTGTCGCAATATAGAATAGAATTTTTGTAGATCTTCACCTTAGCCTTTGTTATGTACTATTTTATAGTTGTTTATTAAATGTGTTATTCTTGTTCAACCTGTGTATTCATTTGGGAACCTGTCAACTTACTCACTGACCTCCCCACTCAATTTTATTTTGCCCTCCTATAAAGCCATCCTCTGACAGAGCCGCCGGTAAGTGGGGACAACTAACCCCCTCAGTTCTCACATTGATGACCTTCATTAAAAAGTAAATAATTTATCAACACAGTATAATATAAGATAATTAGAACAATTATAAAAAGAAGAAAAATAACGAAATCTATTCAAATATTGTAAAACAGATTCATATATAAGAAACAAAGCTGTCTTACCTTGAACTGCATTGGAATAATGCGAGAATTTTATATTAGGAGAATCCGTAAAAGTCAAAATTCTTCTTGGTGTTTCCATAAAACTAAAATATATCTTAATGTTATTTTATTTACAAATATAAAGATTATTAAAGTTTAAAACAAAATGTAACTTACTTGAAAGTTGATAAATTACCAAGATTATTAGTCAAATTTGTAACTGGAGATACTTCATTTTCTTCATTTAATAACTTAAATGATGACAATCTATTTTCTTTCTCATAAGACATTTTTCTTTTTTATTCTTCAATGATTAAAAATACAATGAGTACGAAATTCAAAATTGTCCAAAATTAAATTTTCCAACTGAAATTTTTACACAGATTAGTAGGATGTAATAATATAATAATAATTCAGTAACTTATTAAAATTAAATATTTTACTACTATATTAATAATAGTAATATATTAATTAAACAAATGTATTTAATTATTTATACTTTCTAACTGAATTTGTTTTTGATTAATTAAATTATTTCAAATTAAATAATAATTAGCAATGGGACAATACCAAAGTTTCTCCCAACTCCAATTCTTTTAAATACTTTCTAAAGTTTATTTTATTTCAGAAAAATTCATGATTTACATTATGAGCATGTTACATTTATTAATTATAAACATCAATCTTAAGAATGAAAAATGATTGGAAAATCAAGAATCAATCTTTTGAAAGAAACGTAAAAATTTTCCATTTATATGTGGATATGCATGCTTTTATTATGTACTTCAAAAATAAATTTGTAATCTTACTTCAGATAATATAAGTTAACAAGTCAGAAGGCCCAGTGCAGGCATCGGGGCATACTAAATTACAAATAAAAATAATAATATACTGAATATTATACTGTAAAAATATAAAATAATTTATATTGTTAATTTAAATTAATTTAAATAATAGCTAGGGGTACCCTAGTGGCCATTTTTGGCATACAGTAATAGAAAGAGAATGCCCATTTTTTCAGCTTTATATAGTAGATATTGCAACACTGTCCCGAAAGAAATTACATCTAATTCCCCTTTACTCAACAAACTATCTCATCATGTCATGTAGGGTCACTATCTTTGGAAACTGCAAAAAAAATCACATCTTTAAAAAACCCAGCAATGAATTTAATAAAATAATAACATTTTCGACCAGCTTCACTGACCTTCTTCAGTTACAACAGAACAGAAAAATAGAAAGTGAATACAAAAGTTTAAAAAACAATATCTNGAAAACGTAGTTGAGATTAATAAAATACATAACCTCAGAAATAAAATAAAAATAAAAAGTAAAAATAAATGAATAAATATCTCTTAATTTCATTGTTTTTAAATTTTTGTATTCACATTCTATTTTTCTGTTCTGTCATAACTGAAGACGATCAGTGAAGCTGGTCGAAAACGTTATTATTTTATTAAATTCATTGTTGGATTTTTTAAAGATGTGATTTTTTTATGCTCTATCTATTCTGTTAGTGCAAAATATTTGGAAACTGCTTCATTGGCCACTGCAATGACTAAAGGAAGTGAAGGTAAATGAGAAGATGCACTTTTTTCATGCTTCTTGCAATGAAAATGTCTTGTAAATGATTTAACTCCATTGTATTTGAGCAACAAAATGAGGTTTGGCAAATGATGCAACAAGTTGAACAAATATCACCATGAGTTAACCAATTTTTAAATTCATTCACTGGACTCACAAATATCTAGACCAGTGGTTCCCACAGTGGGTACTACTGCCACTCTGTAAGTAGTGAATAAATCTAGGGGAAAAAAGCAAGTGAGCAGCAAGGGAGTGCTCACTTGCTTTTTTTCCTAGGAGGTAGGGTACTGAATGGTGACCATAGGCAAAGGTTGAGGTCACAAACAACTTTTCCCTTTCCTGTTAAAATGAATAAGAAAAAACATTGCATTTAATGGTTTCCAGATGTCAAGAACAATGTTTTGTAAAAACACAAAGTGTGAGGTTCATAGAAAAGTTTTCCTAAGAATATTTTCAAGTCTCACACAAAGGAAAATGTGTTAAGGGTGCTACTTTTATGAAACTAAGTGGGTGATGGCTCGAAAAAGTTTGGGAATCACTGGTCTAGACCAACTCATCTTAAAAAATCAATTTTTAAAACTCAAAATGGCAGTAAACTTAGCACGAAGAAGTATTTTTACTCAGAATCACATTTGAAAATTTAATTATAGCATCACCTGTGAATCATAACAAAAACTTTCATAATTATAACGAGAAAGTTGTTTTATCAATATAAGTAAACATACTAAATATTAAAAATAATTAAATATAATACTTTTCAATTAAAATAAAATTTTGTTTACATTTTAAACTGTTTTGCCAACTGCTGGTCTCAATTTGAAACTAGATAGTCAGATAGTTCAATCAATGTTAACGCGTTTATAATTAAAATTTTTTAAAAAGCAGGCAAATATTTGTTTTAGTAAATATATTAAGACTTTTACAACTAGTTTTGGCAATTTTTGTGCATTCTTATCTAAGTACTACCAATTTTAACAAAGTTATAGTAGGTAGGCATAATTATAAATATACACATATACATAAAACAAAAAATATATTGTCAGAAATGAAGCAAATAAAAAAATCTTCCATGAATAGACATTTTAATCAGGTACACTGAAATACACAGATACAAAAGTAGTTTTTAAATCATTTGAACTCTGGCAACATGTTACACCATTAATTCTCCTTTTGAGAGATTTTAATTCTCATATTGCTGAAATAAAAGATTCTTGGTATAACGGTTCTAACAACCTGATTTTAAACACTCAAATTTCAAAGGATAAACGTAGTAATAAATTAAATACAAGTATGATAAATATAACAACAAATTTTAAAATATACATAATCAATGATCGCATAATATCTGATGATCATGCTGAATTTACTTGTGTAGAGAATAATGGAAGCTCTACTATTGATTTTACTATTTGTTCTGAATTTCTGCTGGATTTATGTGCAGACTTTAAAATATTAAATTATAATGCATTGGACCATTTTTCCATCTTTGCCAAATTTTTGATGAAAACAGAAAAAAAAGAAGAAAAGATAAGACAAATTCAATAATTATCAAAGAAAAATCTATAATTCCTCAAGATATCAAGAAGAGATAGAAAATAAATTTAACTGTATTTCTGACATAAATGAAACAAATTGTATTGAAACTTACATGTTCATCGAACAATTAATGAAGAAATATATACAAACTAAAAATGTGAAAAAACAAACTATTCAATTCAAAAAAACCTTGGTTTGATTTTGAATGCTATAAAATGAAATTGAAATGGAAGGAAGGGAAAAATGCACATAAGTGAAGTAGCCAATGAGCACATAGATTCTATAGAGAGCATACTTAAAACAAAAAGATCTAAAACTATTTAGAAAAATTCAAATAACCAAAACGTCATCAATTATAAAAAAGCTAAGCAAATCTGTAACAACTTACTTAAAGCAAAGAAAAAAAAATACTTTGTAAACTTGGAAACTACTCTAATAAATGATAAAGGAAAAAGTAAACATTTTTGGTCAACAATTCAAAAATCCTGGATTAACATTGATTCCAGCAATAAGTCTCCAAAAGTAAATTTTGAAACATGGTGAAATTTCTATTGATGATTTCCAAAAATCCCTTCTATTCAATTACCTTCAACTATAAAACCACTTCATAACGAATATCTAGACAATGGAAGAACTAAATGACTCAGTAGGATGCACAGTAATTCATCACCTGGAAGTGATCATATCCCAATTAAATTTCTTAAATTAATACCAAATTCAACCAAGGTCTAAATTACTTGATCTATTTAACAAAATATACAACACTCTTTTATATCCAAATTCATGGAATTCTGTTTGGCTCTATATGATATAATATACAAAAGGGGAGATAAACTCCTTCCTAATAATTACAGACCAATAGCTCTTTTACCTACTTTAAAAAAATCCTTATGGCAATTTTAGCAAAAAAAATTTCAATGATGGAACCAGTGAAATGGATTTGGAATCCAAATTTCAATATGTATACGTAAAAAGCAGAGGCACAGAACCTGCGACATTTTTGCTGCTATCAGTCATTAAACTTCACTTGTCTAAAAAACATAAGAAACTATTTACAGCTTTTATAGATATTGAAAAAGCTTTTGATATGGTCTATGTACCACTTTTTGTTCAAAATTTGAGAGAGAAAAGAGCAGGTAAAAGTTTTCCTACACAGTGCTCAAGTTGTTTTCAGACTATAATACTTTCATTCAAGGAAACAACATATCTCTTTATCTTCTTCATTTAAATGATCCCGTGGAATTCTACAGGGCAATCCGCTTTCTCCATACCTGTTTAATTTTTATCTGACTGGAATTGACAACTCTTTACAAACTCCACTGATGGCATCAAAATTGCAGGTAAATCTTTTCATTATATATTATTTGCAGATGACTTAGTTCTTATGGCACTGACAAAAATTTCTCTACAAAAGAAAATTAACCAACTTAACTTATTCTTTAAACCATTGCAACTATCACAATTAATCCCAATAAAACAAAAATAATGATTTCCAGAAATAATAAAATATCAGAAAAAGAAACCAAACTGTATTTAGAAACTTTACCCCTTCAATTAGTCAGAGATTGTTTATTTAGAAGTGACCTTTGAATCAAATGGAATTTTAAATCACAAGTTACAAAATTAAATAGCAAAATGAAAGCAACAATTGATAATTTATTTCTATATTCATCTTTTATGGGTAGGCGTTAGGCTCCAACACCTAACGCCTACCCTAATGTCAAATTACTTTATTCCAATCATTTAATTAGCCGTATTATAGCCCGATATTTAGGTGATCGTTTGGTAATTTATTATATACTATTCGGGCTTAGTGTTGTTATTTATATCTTTACCAAAGAGAAACTTCCAAAAAAAATTTGACTTTCATTTTGGACAATATTTTTTATCTTGTATTTTTCTTTGTATATCAATTTTTTTTGACAAATTAACTTTTTCATTGCCTTCCTACTATACCTATTTATTATTGCTTCTATAATATAATTTGGTCTTAAAACAGTCAATAGAAACACAATAGAAAAATAAAACTGAGATAAGAATCTAACTGCAACAAATTAGATGAGGATGCAAAACTGCAAAATATAATTAATAGGATTGTTCCAACTTATTATTTACTGGTTTAATTTCTTGGGGCAGGAATGTATGCATTGGTCAAGATGATTGGTATATTTTTTGCAAAATTCATATTTTAAAATTCTACAATATATTTGAGTTTAGTCAACAGTTGGTTGGAAATGAACTATTCT